GTTCACCGGACGACTATCGATCGTCATTCGAAAGTCGCCGGTGTCCTTCTTGGGGACAATGCGAGAGGCACATGCCCATCTCGACCGGTTATTTCGGTAGACGAGACCGGCGCGTTCGAGCTCACTCACATGCCCCTTGAGGAACTTCATGTGGAGAGGCGGGTACCGCCGCAGTCCACATTTTACGGGTGTCGCATCCGGCTTGACTCGAACCTTCAGGGGCTCCACCTTGATAGGCGGGTCGCAGCCCATTTCCAATCGGAACACATCCGTATTCTCCTTGAGCAGCCGACGCAGCTGCTCAAGAGACACTGCAGAGAGACCTTCCTCTTCCGCCTGCACCAGCTTCGCGGCGAGTACTTCCCAGACGACTGCCCCGCGCTCCGCTTGTACAGTCACGTCGAACGAACACGGCAATGGCGTCGCGCACTGGAAACCATTGTCTTCGTCTCCGCTGTCATGCAACTCCGCCTGCATAAGGCGATTCACCTTCGCCATGGTCGTCGTCGGTTCTGGCTCTGGATCTAGAGCGTCCAGGTCCCAGATGGCGGCTTGCTTCCTTGCCGCCACGAGCACCCCGTCGGCAGAATACCCCAAGGCATTCATTACGGGCCGTCCGACGAGGATCTCGGCCCTGTCCTTCACGATGTCGTCAACCCACAGGTCCTGTCCTGGAAGGACCAGAGGTCCGTAGGAGGTCTGGAACTCCGCGGATCTGAGTTTCATCGTTCGCAATTGTCGGAGCTCCAACGCCATACGGTGCTAGCTCTTTCGGACACACGGCATCGCGTACCACTACACTAGCTCCGGCTGCCAACAGTGCCGAGGCCAGATCCACCAAGGCCACAGATGTGTCCGACCCTGAGTCGAACAGGGTTGCCTTCAGGGGTATAATACCTTCGACCACACAATCGATCCTCGAGGTCCAAACCGATGCGGTCGGGGCCTTGAGGGTATTAACTTGCATCCGTGCTTGGCCCCGACCACCATCGACTCCGGCCCCGCGGTTTGCCGCACTTCCAGGCGCTTCACCTCCGGTGTTGCCACCCCTCTCGACTCCATTACCGCGTCCACCGCCTCTGCTCGCACGCAGGACTTCCGAAGCCTCCTCGGGAGTTGCTTGGGCAACTACGGACGAGATGGTCTAACGAACCACACTTGAAGCAGCCCCCCCGAGGCGTACCTCCCGCCGCCGATACACCACGTGGCGACGCTGCATTAACCTTCGACGTCTCTCCACTGACACGTGCTGTACCAGCATTGGACTTATTCGCCTTGGGAGGGCCACGATCATCTGGTCGCAGCTGGACGAACATCTGGCAGGTAGTTGCGTACTCCCGCAACCACCCTACGAACTTGAACACGTCCGTCTTCAATGTTACGTTGCATGGCGATCTGCTCCTTCAAGACCTCCAGGAGGCCAGTAGGCTATATTGCGTCAATAATGATGCCGACCATCATCATCCCCTCCTCTCGGAGGACCTATTCTTGGTAGTCCAGCTCGAGGGTCTTCATGCGACCCTCAAGCATCTTACTGACTCGAGAGTCGACGTCCATGATAGTCAGGTCGAACTTAACCGAACTGCGCAGCCGAGCGCGGATCGCGTCGAGGTCAGGCGGTAAAACATCGTAGCCGAGGCGCATCCACCCGACCCATTCGGCTTCCGTGACAGAGTAAGCTGGTTTGTCCAACTACCACATGGCTATTTCATTCTTCATGTAGTGGTAATTAATTGCAGGCTGACACCGGCATCACCAAGGGCTTAGTGGTAGTCGTCTGCAATGCGGCCACCTGCTCCAGGTATTGGTTGTACTCTCTCATGAATTGACGGCGCTCGGCCTTTGTCGAGCCCTTAAACTTTGGCGATTGTGGGAAAGGCTGGCGCGTTGAAGATCATCCTGTCGCTGGCGCCCATGCTTTCGTCATCACGCCCATCCACAGCATCACTTGCGGATGACGTTGCACGGGCCGTGCGAGCTGGCTCCGAAGCTGGCGTTGGTGTGGCCCCTGCCGCAGCAGCCACCGGTTCTGCTGCCGCCCCATCGGACTGCGCAGCGGACGCGGCGACTGGAGCTGACACCGGTGCATTCCACGTTTCGTGTCTCTGCCAGCTGGCAGCACTTCGATGTTGACGTCCACGCAGTGACTCGAACCTCTCACCGCCACGCGGACTCCGCGATCTCACTCGCGACGCTCCTTCGGCGCGCGCTTCGATGTCTCGTTCGTCGAAGTCTTCAGGTTCCATTAACGTCGTGGACGTTCTCCACCGAACGACAGGAAAAGCTGCAACAGCAACTGCTACAAAGAATTCTTTGTTCTCACTTCCGGGTCCCCGACTCGGCGAGTGAATCGCAGGCGACTCTCACTGTCTTTCAAGGGAAAAACAAAAGTGAATATGGGCATTAGGGTACTAACTGCACACTTCCTCGCCTACGACGTACCAGCACCAAACGCCTACGGTACTACACACTGACACGGATGTTCAAACAATGCGAGGACACCGTAATACAGGTGGATCACATTTCCGCGGGAACAAGGATTCAAAAATTCGTTGGCGAAAATCAAGCTGACGCGCAAGGTACGTCAATGGCGCTGAAGACGCGACTGCAACGGTGACACACACTTAGGCAACGCGTGTCCGTTCTCAAGGAGTTCCATGACTTGAACCCCAAGAGCGAGCGAGAGTTCTGTCGCGACAGGCAACTTCTCTACCCAACATGGCAAGAAAGAGGGCAAGATTCGATCTGGCCAACGACACGGTCGACGTGCAACGCTGGGCGGCCAAGGTCACGAAATTCTCGTACACACCGATGGATAGAAAATTGTACTTCAAGACAAAACTTGGCGCACAAGGGGGCCATCCACCGCGTGATGGTCCACATGACTGAGCTATGCACCAAACCAAATTAACTTCAAGGATTGGTGAAATTTCAAGTTGTTTCTGCCAAGTGCATACGACACCCGGTTCACTTTGCAAACTTGAAGCAACCAGATACTGTACAGTAGTAACATGTAGTATTTGGAGTGAAATACCACTCTATATGCAGTGTGAGCGCGCACCACTGCCAGGCGGACTACCGACGGTAAGGCCCTGGCTGCCCGCCCTCATTCACGGCGGGCCAGCAGCGGGCGCGTCCGGTGCGAATCTGACACTGCGCACTCTCGTCGTGTCAAACCCGCGAGGTCGAATCGCACGACGATCGAAATGGTTAACTGCTGTTTCCCGTGGCAGTAGATCGACTCGCGAAGCCAAGTCAATATCGTCCGGCTCAGTACGACATCACCACGTTGCCACAGACTCCTCAACATCAAAACAAGAACGAGTTTTCTCGACGACCGAATTAGTACAGCCTCGTAACTTTGTTTGCCGCCTTCCTAGAGGGACGACACATCACTATCGACCTGCACGCGCAAGTTCTTCTTTGCCAAGTACGGCTCGATGAACCCGCGCGCGGCGCTGAGACGGCCATACACGCTAGGCATGTTCAGGTTGCCGCAGCCGAGACCCCAGCTCACTACACCCACCAAGCGCGCCGCTCCGTTCTCCTCGATCGTCAGCGGGCCCCCCGAGTCGCCTTGGCATGCATCTTCGCCCCGCTTGCCGCCCGCAGGCAACATCGAGTCGTCGACACTGCTGTCCAATGCGGCTGCGGCCCGCGCGTTGTCCCACGTCAGAACACTCACTTCCTTGAGCACCTGGGAATGGGTGCCGCCGGACGACCTGGTGGTGCCCCAGCCACGGACCCACGTGTTGACGTTGGCGGGCACGGTCTCAAACGACACGGGGACTGGCGCGATGCCGGCGATGTGGCGGTCCAACATTACGATGGCCATGTCGTAGGCATTGGTCGAGGCCGAGTAGTCGGGGTGCGGGATCTCTTTGATGATCCCGGCCACCTCGCCGTCGGACGACCCCGACAAGTTGTGCGTCCCGACGACGGCGAATTTCA